AAAAAAGGCGAAAACGATGAGTTTTCAGATTACTTGAGAGAGCTTAAGGTAAGTTTTACCTAATTTATAGAATAATCACTGTTAATATGAAGCATGTCTATAAACCATCAGGTCCACACACTATGTCCGTGTTCCATATCACTGCAAATCTATACATGTTACCATGTGTGCTTCAAGGAACACTTGCACATTTCAAACCGATTCTTTTTTCCCAAATTCATTTTTGTTACCTTAGTGACGGGAATGAGAGTTTGAACCAAGGTATGATACACCTGAAGGAGTAAGCACATGTGACACATTAACCTATATATTGGAAAACAGTGTTATATTAGTATCTACTGTAATGGAACATGACGATATAGGAACAACGGATTGGGTGGTGGACGAATGAAAAAAACTCCTATTAGACCACACAAGAATACATCGACATATGACAGCTGTATATCATTGAATCTTTATATGTCTATGTATCATAATTCTAATATTGTACAAAGAAATATAGATTCATTAATATACATAGACGTCTTTGATACAATAACGCTTACTCAGTTAACATTAGTTGACTAAAGTTTTAATGAAAACTCAAAGATTCTCGAGTACCATTTTTGAGTTTATGTATAACCCCTTTTTTCTCATGTTTTATTATGTATAAATTATGTTATGTACATGTATTTTGTGTATAAGTAAATGATAATTGCTAGTGAGGCCATTAGCATCAATGAAGTGTTGAAGAAGGATAAAACACGTGTTCCGTATAGTTTAATTAAGAATTGACTCTGCGTTATCTAATTTTGATTCGTTATTAGATGGGGCTAAATTTTGTTTTTACCTGTGTGTCTTATATTACTTCTAATCCAGTTTTCATGTTATTTGTGTACGTTGCTTAGTATTATGTTACGTTGTTTTCAGTGATTTGTGATCTATGGCATGAAAACCTTCAGTGATGAACATTGTTTCTAGCAAAACCACACACGATAGTAATATATGGTATATGATGATTTTTATCCTGTTTTGCAATAATAGTCGTTATTTCCTATCAACTCCTCATAATATTGGCAATACTTTTTTGTGAATCCTTGTATTGGGTACTCTCTCTCTCTCTCTCTCTCTCTCTCTCTCTCTATATATATATATATATATATGTCTGGCTGTATGTCTCTCTCTCTCTCTCCTCTCTCTCTCTCTCTCTCTCTCTCTCTCTCTCTCTCTCTCTCTCTCTCTCTCTCTCTCTCTCTCTCTCCTTTCTCTCCTTTTTACATCTTAATTGAGCCTGGTTTTTGATAAGGCACTGATAATTCTTCATGGTATCTCCTCTTACATGGATTTGTGATTGAAATGTTCTCTCTATATATTTTAATGAAACAGTTTGGCTTCTGATAAAATTGTGTGTTCTCTCTCTTTGCATCCTTAATGATAACTGCTTTGAGATAAAGGTGAGACGACTCTTGTCCAGTAATGTTTGGATTTGTGATATGTAACTTAGTTTATTTTCACTGCTTAAGTTTTCAGTAAATCAGCTTTGCTTGTTATTAAGTCGTGTTTGCTGTTTTTACATTTAGTGATACTGTCAATAGTTTATATGGTCACTGTTTAAATTTGGGATGAAATTGGTCGTTACAAACACCCCTGGAATTTTCTGTATTTACTTTAAGCTCTTTGCATCCCAACTTTCAACTACAAACAAACGCTGCAACAATGAATGTAGATGACCTTAAAACTAGTCCTCCGCCAACTTGCACTTGTTTTACCTCTACCTATAGCCACAGTCCAACTAGGCACATAGTAACTGGTGATTTAAGCATTATTTAAAATGTTAAGCTACGAGAGTTTTTCATTAAGGGTCCTTAATATCATGAAACCTCTCCCTTTACTGAAATATGGATCTTAAAATACTTATGGATTTCGTTGAAAACTATGCCAGAGAAGAATGAAATGAGAACATGCTGCGTTGGATTAATTTTCTGAGTGTGTTACATCCATTCAGTCCATCATTCTCAAAAAGATCTGCAGATCAGGCGTCAAATAACTTGATCCTTGTCTGCAAACATTATTATATTTCCTGTATAGAAAAAGAGCTAGGTATGCTTGATAACATGAAAATCCTACCTATGCTTTATACATCTTTCAGTATTAAAATAATTTAGATTACATATGAATGATAAGGATACGGACCTCTCCTGTTTATATTGGATTCTGAAACTTCACAAGAATCCATATAAACACGTTTTATTGCTGGCTCGTTTGCTGTTCAACCAAACCTTTGCAAAGTCGTTAATTTTCAATTTCAGTTACATGTACATGTATATTGATGAAGTCTAGTCACTAAATAACAATTGTGAATTTTATTCATCAGGATAGAAACATCCTTGCATCCCCAAACTATAGTGTTATCATGTTGCAGCTGATATTTACGGGCCTGTTCGCGATGTCACGATTTTATGCGAAAACTGACAGACAAACACAGGCTTTCAAAAGATGCAGATTAATAAAAATAACGGGGAAGTTTTACAGTTATCATTATGATATCGTTGAGAAACATTCTATTTTTGTGTGATATGAAGCTGGACGTTTTTGATGCTCGTTGGTTTGGTTATGCTGTTGTATACCTTGTCCTCACTTGAGAATGTTATATTACTTATTTTGATTGACCAAAGTTTACATAGCGGGTATCGTCAGTAAAGCAGAAGACGCTTACTCTTCCGGAACACCTTGTCTTATTCTCTATGTAATTTTTCCATGAGTCTCAGTGTAAATTTTTCTTAAAGATAATTGTGTGTTTACTTCCAAGTTATAATTGTGTGTTTACTTCCACTCTAGTTGTTTGGTAATACTGCTAACTGTTTTATGGTTAAGTCGTGACGACTCTGTTACACAATAATTATTCCGACACGTGGTATTTGAGTTAAATAGTGATATTGAATTTGATGATTATGCTGTGCTGTTCGACAACATAAAAAATAGTAAAGAATGAAAATGTGATAATTGTGTGTTTACTTCCACTCTAGTTGTTTGGTAATACTGCTAACTGTTTTATGGTGAAGTCGTGACGACTCTTTCCTGGTATATTTTAATATCTTCAGTAATGTTTGATTTCTGATAATCGTGAGTCTGACGTTTGTGATATTATTTGAATTTTTGTACATTTAAAAACATCTTAGATATTTAGCTTGTTAGATTATCATATTGATTTTTATACAAAATCTAAACATTATATATTGTGTCATAACAAATAAAATGTTTGTGAGTGTCTTTAGGAGTGGTATAATTTCATTTACGTGTTCGACTGTTTAAAAATAGAAGCATCTAGTAACTTGCCTTAAGCAAAAGTGGTTCACTATTGTCCTGTTCTATAAAAACCCGGATCTACAATCATGTACGTACGATTAATTTTGCTCGCTTCAGTGCTTTCAATGATTGTTTTTGACTTATCATGTTCTGTCTTTTGACTGGCGACTATTTTGTTTATATTTACTTATACCAGCACTAACAGTTGAATTATATGGAGTTTTCAGGGTAAATGAGAATACTATTTATACTTTTGTCATGACTTAACGGTTTACGGGTAGTTTTGACGTCGTCATGTTAAAACAAAATTTTGCTTTGAGTTAAGTGGTTAATTCAGGGTTTTCATTGCATTAACTCTTAACATATCAATTTTGTAAGAGTGATTGACGTCTAGTTTTTAAATCATTCTATTTTTGGAACGTTTTAAAAGTACAGATGTACTCCGATCAAGGTGTAGAATTGTCTGCTTTAACGTGGTATTTGTGCTATACTGCACATTATCAATAAAGTCCAAACGTATTTTTGAATTACGGTAGTAATCTTAAGAGAACTAGAAATTTATATCAGTATGCCCTATTTGTTTTCTTCTAAACGTCTTCGATTGCTACTTTAATTAAGCTATCTCTTATTATTGCTGTCAGAAAGTCAATTTCAGGCGACTATTGAGTAAACTATAATTATCTCTATGAATATGCATTTAGCACTCATCAGGGCCAAAATGCTTATTAGACTAAACTTAGTTCATACCAAACTTACATGTAAATTTAGAAAAAAAACGTCAAAATGACTGCTATTACAGGAAACATATGTCTTTTTTTCAAAACCTTTGGTCTACAAATGGAAAACATTTTCCTTTGAAACCTAGAACATAATTATGAGTGTGATTTTCTTTATAAAATAATGGTTCTAAATTTCCGAATAGTGGTAATATCCATTATGTATGGAAAGGAATGGGCAAACTTGGAGCATGCAATGAGATAAATATCTAGAAATTGATTTCACTCCGATGACATATCTACACAAGAATGTCATTTAATCAATCTATTTATTCTAAATAAATCTGTCTCCTGTGTGTTTTGTCAGATACGTAGACATTTAATTATTGAAAATAGATTTAATTTGTATTTATTGAGTACATAAATCGAAACCTTTATAAACATTTTGACAGATGAAAAAAACACAAAACTGATCTCGGATCAATTGATTTCAACAAGGTCTTTTCTTATGAAAGATTTAACAAACTTTAAGAATAAAATCTATATAGTTTGAATTAAATCCAGGAATATCTTGACATTAATCTATGTTCATGGTCCTTTTCATTCTCAAGTTAGCGACAAGCAGACCCTTCCATGTCATATTTCTAATTGACGTTATCCAGCTACGGTTGCTGTGGTCTCGGCGGGAGTATATATTTTCAAGGTTTTATCCATTAAAGTTCACTGTACAGTGTATATGATGTGAGAAGTCTGTCTGAAATCTTTTATACGTAGCGATTTCAGTCACTGTAGATATATCTGACTAGATATGTTATCTGAGATAAGTTTCATGTTAAAAGGTCATTGGTGACAATAATGAGCGAGACCAGAGACAAGGAAAATTCTTAAACTCGTTAGAGGAAATCACTAGGAATGCAGATATCAGGAAACATTTTCAATCAATTTGCAAAAAAATAAGATAAGATTTAAAAAATATAAAAAAAATAATGTTAAAAAAAATCCCGCGAGCCGGAGTCGAACCAGCGACCTAAGGATAGCTTTGAAGTCAACCACTACAGTCCTCCGCTCTACCAACTGAGCTATCACGGGATATATGTCACCTCATCTGAACAAAGTCAATATAGCATGAGCTTTTTTTTTTTTTTTTTATAGCTTAACGTCCTTGTTCCGGTTATAACCGAGCCTAGGACACTATAGCATGAGCTGTGTTGTTAAATAAGTTTTTATTTCATTCAATCTTGCTGTTTTCAACAAAACTTAAACAAATTACTTACACTTTTTTGTTTCATTTACTTATGTTTATGAATATATTTGTCATGAAGGTTTTTAATTGATTTAAACATATTTTATTATCAATATTAGATAAATGGATGAGAGACAAGTTCTAGCAACTTATCAACTCTTCTCCATAAATGAAAGTACAAATAATGCACGTGACACATATTTATACTATGAATATGAAGATAAGTAATTCGTAGACGTACAATTGTAAGTTTAAATCATTTTGTCAAAAGAAGGAAAAGATGAAATGATAGGATAGAACGAAAAGAAGAGAAAAGAGATAGTATAGATTTTACTTCAATTCAATATCAATTCAGTGCCGACTACAAACAGTTCATAATTAGGTAGTTTTAAAACGCTTTGTTTTTAATTCTGTGCCAGCATTAAACTGTGTTACACAGTATATTTCATGTTTTTATCATATCACAACATTTTATCACAACCTTCCATACCCCTTTGTATTAACATTTGTAAGTGAATGTATAAAATACGACAGGGTCATTTATAGACCCTAATATCACTCTGAGACATCAATATGCATAAAATCCCTAATACCAACCCACAGAATATCGTATGGAAATAACTGACAGTATCTGTATATTTCATGACATTTCTCAGGTTACAGGTGCGTGCTACACTAATCCATAACATTACTCCTTATCTGTGACAGCTCGGGTTTTATAGCAGTTTATTGTGTTGTTATGACGTCACCAACCGAAACAGCTGTTTTAAAGTATTTTCGCGTGATATTTTTTCCTAATACCAAATATTAAATAGGCAATTAGGTACATGTAATTTATATAGTTTAAACAAATTCAAAAGTTCTTATCTAGAGTAAGAATTCAAACGACTGCTGATAATGTCGGCAAATGTTCTTTTTTCAAATCTTGAACAACGCGAAAAAGGAAAACATTTAAATGTAACACTATACTAATTAACAGTATTGATCCATCATTTTGAAAATTAATCGTGTATGCATTCTTTGATCTTTTGTTTGCAAATTTACTGTTTTTGACGCAGGAACATGACATCTTTGTTGTTATAATTTTGGGAAGCAATTTGTGAATAATTTTTAAATGGATGATGGCAAATGAAATTTTGTAGCAGATTAAAAGGGTATTGCATGAAGATCCGATAGTATGTCAGTTATAACAGCGAATATAAGATTCTGTTTCTATCATGTGGATGTCTGAAATATTAATGTTTTGGATATAAAAAAACCTTATGTTTCATCATTTTGTTAAATTGTGCTTAAATGGGACGTAACTTTGAAAGTGTAAAGAATAAATATGACTGACGGCATATAATTGTATTCATACCAACCTTTTACATCAATGATATGATAAGCTTAGGACTGCTGCACCTCCTTATCCAGATTTTGACTTTTCATTAGATCACATATGATTTTCCTAAGTCGCCCCCTATGCTTCAAAATTAGGTCCTGAGCATCACTGACAAGTCCTACATGACGAAACAGCTGTATGATGTAACATCACTGACAAGTCCTACATGACGAAACAGCTGTATGATGTAACATCACTGACAAGTCCTACATGACGAAACAGCTGTATGATGTAACATCACTGACAAGTCCTACATGACGAAACAGCTGTACGATGTAACATCACTGACAAGTCCTACATGACGAAACAGCTGTACGATGTAACATCACTGACAAGTCCTACATGACGAAACAGCTGTATGATGTAATTCAATTAATTATTTGGCTCTGCCGCATGTAACTCTCAATTAAAAGTGTTATTCACTTGTGTGTCTTTTTTACAATCTATAAGATGGGATCGTTTATCAAGGACTCCAATAACGAAATATCATCAGAATCATAATTTAAATATTAAGTCGTTTAAACGAATGTGAAACAAAGACAAAAGAAAGCTTTACACGCTTCATCGACGAGACCTACCAGGTAGATATTGAGAGCCTGGTGTTACGTCATACACATGACCTACTTGTTCAATCATCCGTAAGTACTCCACTACACTAAGGAATTATGTAACTGTAGGATGATAGGTGGTATGATTGCGTGGTTATGATTTTTTAATGTCCTTGATTATCACCTTTCACATCTAAATGTATGTAATAAAGATCGCACCAACTGGAGTCTACTTACCTGTATGGTGTGGTCTACATCACACATACCTCTAATTCTAACAGCATTGCATTTTACACGCATATCCTTTTAATATGAATAGAAATTAAATATCACTGTAAAAATCGTTATTATTTTGTGAAGTGTTTTCATAAATACAGCCTCTACATGTTAACAAGAGCTTCCCACAAATGAGATAGATCGAAAAGATGTGCAGTGTATTTATTCTTACCTATTCAGACATAGACCCGGGAATGCAGTGATTTCTACATACAAACCAGTATAGTCAAAGTACAGAGAGGTATACAGTCACAGAGAACATTTTATAGTATTGGGAAATCGTCGTTGTGTTTTCATGTATTCGTATAATCAAAATGAATATTGGACTTGCTAAATCTTTTGAATTTTCGATACAGTTTTGTCAAGCATTTATTTGATTCAGTAGTGCAAAAAAATAATCCGAAATAGTCTTGGAAAACACTGTCTGAAATACCTTGAAGGTTGTGGGTATAGTATGGACATTGTTATCCCTTATCGTCATTTGCTGATTTCAAACTTTTGGATCTTGTAGATAAAATACTTCGTTTGAGAGATTTTAGAACTGAACATTAATTTGTAAATTGGTTTGTTCTAACCACATGCTGACAAACAAACGGGAGGATTAAAAGCAGTGACAAGGCCAGTTTATGTAGCAGTGTTTAATAAGAGCGTTGTCAAATAATTGAATCAATGTTGCTATGGTTACTTTACACAAGTAAAATTATGTTGCGGGGAAGATTGTTTAGATACAAGTTACGAATATGTATTACTGATAAAATAGAGAACTTTTTTTTATCTCTCTGATAGACGTAATGCTCTCTAAAGTGAATTATTTCATATCGATCTGGGTATAAATTATTTCAAGTATACGCTTGTTCCTACAATTAGTAAAAAAAATCAAATTGATTTTTAATGTTATGCAACAGCAATCAAAAACAAGAGAACCATTTCAAAGGAATGATAAAAATCGTATTATCATTGTTTTTTTGTTTTTTTAAGGAAAGGTTTGTACATTTAAAATCTATACAACGTCTGTTATCGGAGGCGCCTTGTTTAGCTTTGTACAGCGAAATCAGATTAGAAACCCCAAGGTCAAAAGAGATATTAGATTGCCTCGCAAATGAGCCACAATTAAACCTACGTAGGCGGAATAGAAACGGATAGCTTTGCTCCAATTATCGCCAACGAAGTAGAATGTGAGCTAGCATTACGTTCAATTTGACTGTCAGGTCCTCTCTTAAGGTAGACACTAATATAATACACATTTAAATGTTATGGTTTTGAAAACAGATTTGAACAAAGAAAGATTTCACTCGTGTCTTGTAACATATAATATTGGGAGCGGAATGTGTCGATTAGGGTGAGAAATGTCCGGAGGGAGCGATTACATATTAATTATTCCCGACAATCGCTGTTGTCATTGCTGATTACTGAGACGGATTTGGAAATCACGAGGTAGGAGTCCTTGTCCAGTTTGGAATTACAGACGTCATGTACAGTGAAGGAAAGGCGCATATTAGCCAACTGTTCTCTCGAACTGTTTTTGTTTTATCGAAGAAAGTGTAAGCGATGACCAAGCTGTTTGTTTGGATACCTGGCAACGGATGAAGTTGGTAGTGTTTATTCCAACAATATGTTTGACGGAGTCGGACATAGTAAAATAGAGAATATTGAGGAGGCTGGAACGGATTACGTCCACAGGATATTACATTCCAAAGTGAACTGGTTACACATAAAATCTTCGTCGTGGTAGTTTTAGACACGCAACGACAATACTTTACAATAAGGCACAGGAACAGGAAACAGACGACGTTATTACAAATAAATTGATAATACCAGTTCGTCATGGATACCAAACATACACGTGATATACAGTCAAAATAAAAAACAGAGGAACTCGGACAACGAGGACATAAAAAATCTGGTAACTGAAGGAAGGTCATTTACACCGCAGAGTTTGTTTCCAATGCTAATAAGGAATATTGGTATCGAATTAAAGAAAGGATGTGATTTAAATGACACATGTTTTTGGTATTGTTCCGAGGCTGTGTCATACAAGTAGTTATCGGTTAAGGAAGCAGAGCTGGTTTATTTCACAGCTGGTTTACTAAACATCTGTATCTGTTCACTACAACACATCTCAGGAGATTACCGAATGGATCCGTTACACGCGCCCAAACTTACCCAGGGTAACAACCTCACACCTCCTGACGTGTATTGTAACATATGGTTAAGCGTTGTCAATTGACATGACGTAACACTGGTTCGTGACGTTGGAAAGAGTTCAAAGTTCATCGTGTATGGTAACAGGGACGATTTTCAAAATATTGCATGTTACTGTCTTGCTTTGGAATTCGGAGTCCAAATTTTACGCATCGCTACATCTAAACATACAAACCTGGCCTGAATTATTGAGATCGTTATCGGCAATGCATGTGTTCTATCATAAATTATATAATATCGACATTTAGCCTTGTATTTCGAAACGAGATATGATGAGATTATAGCAATGCTTTGACAGGGATAAATTAGAAAGGATTTTAAATGATGGTGTCAGTTTACATCAAATTAAAAAGAATATCAATATTGGCAAACTAGACTGGATTACATGCATTATAAGCCTGCATCATCATGATCAATGGTTTCATTTGTGAAGTTTTGC